ATTTATCCTGAGACCCAGACAGGGGCCTATGCAACAGTGATTTTACTGTTAAAATATTTTTCAAATTTGAAGTATTCTACACAAGCTCCTAAGAGATGTACTCTACTTGGTTATTCTTTGGGACATACTAGAGCCAAACTCTAGTCTTTCAAAAAGTGCCATGGGAATCTTTAAAATTCTTGCAGAACAGACAAAGTCTGTTTGTCCTGAACATAAAGTCAGTTATGGAACGGGGATAACTTTAGATTGTAAAGTCATGTGTTCTATTTGTACATTGGAAGATTATGAATAAGACAACAATCGGAGTCCTCTTATCCACCTTCGAACTGTAATCCATGAAATGTCCTATGAATATCTTTGAGAAGTGCAGTGTGGATACCAGTTGTGTGTGCTTAGTCACAGACTTCCACTTTTTCAAAATTAGCATCTCTCCACAGGACCTCCAATGGTTAGTTCTGACAGTGCAGAAAAGGGAAACAAAGGTAAATCACAGTTTAATGAGGAACAAGGCATTCATTAGAACCAGATTACACAGAGGAATGCAATTTATTTTGCTGCAGATAGAAATGGATTTCTTGTAGGCAAATGGTGATATTACAGCCCAAGGCTTTGTAAAGTAAAGAAGATGCAACAACAAACAAAAGACAACCTCAAATGAAATTCAGATGGTAGCAATAGATACTAAGACAGATGCAAGAAGAAAAAGAAAAAACAAAAAAGGTAGGCCTTATTTACATCTCTCTCCATTCCCCAGTGCATTTTGAATGCTTATGCCATTTTAACAAAATGGCAGTCTAACCGGTAGGTTTGGAAAAATCATGTCTGGAAACCATACAGAAGTAAGAGTGAAGTGGTCCATCCGTGTTGTCAGAGAGCAGGACAGGAAAATTAGATAGGCTTCTGTAAGACTGAAGAAAAAAAGATGTAGAGGTGATAAGGAGAGAGATAGAGGAGTACTGATTATCTCCTTGCAAGCAATTATCAAAAATGAAAACTTAATGAATAAAAGTAATCCAGTGTTGGTGAAAGGCACTAGATGTAAGCTCTTGTGCAAAGAAGGGCTATTTTTGCATAGTACAGGTATTGCACAGGCAAGCTGCAGAGCAAGTTCTCCTACAGTGCCTTGCAAATAGGTTTCAAACTAACCTGGAAGAGAGCCCTTTTCTATAGTTGGAAAATGGAAAGCAATCTCCATGGACCAATCGGATTCTTGTCCTAGAAACAAGACTGATACAACCCATTCACTTTGCATAGGTTACTAAAGCCATCAGATGTAATTTTCAAGTCACTACCAATCTGAACCACATGCGAAGTAGGGACAATGAGGTAAAATCCCTAGTCTGTTAGTTACTGTTTTTCACCGTCAATGTGGCTCCTTTCAAATTCTGCAATTTGGTTTTCCCCTTTTTTGATTTTGGTGCTTATCTTGTGAAATTTACTAGAGACTGGACAGGTAGATTGAAGAAAACTCACATTCTCCTACACCAAACTTTTAGACATTATGGGAGGAAAAAATGGATGTATAAGTTACAGCAACAGTTAGGACATTTTAATTTATTCAGCTAGCTTGGCAGCAACAGAACATATAATACCCTCTTATGGCTGGTTTGTTCTTCTAGGTCTATTTATGCTTAATACAATTTATCCAGTGTTTTAGATCTGAACAAGCTTTTTGTTTATTAAACAAACTTGTTTTTTCCCCACACTCATTTCTTCCACATTAATTGTGGCTACTGAAAGAAAAAGTCTCATGCTAAATTCTGGGATAATGCAGGAGTACTGCTTCTCATGGTGTGCACACATGCATTTGGAACAGTTCCCTTTAAGACTCTAGTTTCACTACTCCTGCTATTTGTTAGGATGCCCTTGGAGGCCTCTTTCCACTCAGCTTCCCAAGAACTCAGTTCAACTCCAGCCTTCGTCACTCAGGTATATTTATTTGGCACACGGCAGTGCTATGCTGAATAGCTCAGATGTGTGTGTGTGGGGGGGGGGGGGGGGGTGCGGGTGGGGGGGGGGGGGGAGAAGATGAATGCAGACTGCAGTGTGGTGCTAGGTTAACAGGGACAGGTGCAGAAGAGGAGTCTGGCATAGAAGAGAATTTGCACCCTTTTGTGCCCCAAAGAAAAGTAGAGTATGAACCAAAATGGCTGGACTAGTATAAACTCAATAGCCCAAGACTAGCATAAGAGATTAGCAGCCCTGGGACAGATATGGCTTGAAGATTTGATTTGTAATGACAATGTGGCCCACGTGCCTAAAATTTGTCTTCAACCATTTAAACTCTGTGCTGCACGTTAAGAATTGCACCATACCCTTAGGTGTTTATGGTTGTATTTTCAATCAGTTATTTCTATAAAATCCTGCTCCCATATACAGAATAAACCCTTCACCAATATGGCCACATAAGGACCTGAGGAGGAGAACCATCAGTAAATGGGCGGATGTAGCAGAGCGAATTGGTTCAGGGTGAGCCAGGAGCCTGCATAGTACCGTGGGTTTTGGCCCTCTGAAAACAGGTATTTTGGGCAAGTAGTTCCCTGAAGGATCAGGTGATGCATACTTGGCTGGTCATGTGACTAAGGAAAGCCTGTGACTCAGTAGAGAGACACTCAAAAAAACTAGAAAGGCTGAGGCAGTTGCTCCATGAAGAGGTGAGACCTGGAAAGTGCTCTCTGACAAGGAAGATGGGGAAGCATAGGCACAGAAGGGGGCATAAAGGAGACCAGGCAAGATTGGGAAACAGTTCTGAATTGACATCTGGCTGACCAGCCATGGTGTTACAGTCCTAGGACTGGAGACATACAGTAGAGCAGGGACATGGTCACCCTTAGATGTCATCTACCAAAGTGCTGTTGAAACAGCCAAGCCAGAATCAATGGGGTAAGGCAGAATGAGAAAGGGAATTGTATAGCGCCTAGGAGGGCTGGAAAGACAACTGGACTGAGGAAAGGCTAAGGAATTGAGTTGGAGAACATAGGAGGGCTAGCAAAGGACTGCTGGGGCTGGAAGCAGAGGTCAAAAGCACAGTGGCCTACAAGCCTGTGGAAGTCAACTGAGGCATACATGACCAGATGGCAGAGAGATAATCTGCTTGGTACAACAGAATGGTTATGTGAAAGCCCTAAGACTGAAAGCCATATTCAGTAGTCACAAATTGGAAACCTAAAAGTCTCCTTAAAACCTTCCTTGTATTCTAACCTAGCAATTGGGACTTGAATCTTGGTCAGACCTGAATAAACTGGATGTTTTAAAATACAGTTCAAATGTAGTCTTTTCGCCTCTGGAGTAAATGATGGAAAACTGGAGAGAAATAGCTCTGCACTCTAAGTGAATGAGAAATGGCAGATCCGAGATTGGTCCAAGTACAAGCTTGGCAGTGCTGTGCATCTTATGATACCAACAGTAAAATGAGAATCTAAGTCCATGTTTTCTCCTTTTCCCCAAATTTTTAGTAAATTTCAATCTTTCTGGAAGATGATGTACTAACAGAGAAACTTAAAACCTCTTCAGCCAGAGATCAGATACACTATGACAACATGGGTGCAAATTTCCCCCCCACTGCCATGCCGATCTGCTTCATTCCTAACTTGGCGAAATCATTTCTGTGGTGAGGGGAACTTTATCTCTGTTTTTACTTAAGCCAGTGATTCTCAACTTCTGGAGTGCATGCGGCCCAATTAGCACACATCTGTGGCCCAGCTCAGTTGTGTGCTAAAGGCCACCATCGTGCCGGGGTCACCAAGTTCCCAGCTGCCTGGCATGGAGGGGTCCAGGCTGCCCGGCAGGGTCGGGGCTGCCAGCTGGCACCATGGGTTCGGGGGCCCGGGGCTGCTGGCCTGCCCTGCGAGCTATGGAGTCCAGGGCAGCCACGTGGCGGGGTCGGAGGTCTGGGGCTT